GTTCCACCACGCTCCATTTTCGCCATTCTTCATAATCCATCTTCATTCCACCACCATATTGGAGTCTATTAGTGATTTTTTTTTATATAGTTTAGAGTTTGTGTGGTGAGATTTAGTGTGAAACTTTCTGTAAGAGCTTTGGAGAAGGAGAAAAGTGAGAGAGTTCTTCTTACATTTCTAAGGAAAGGCTACAAAGGATTTTCTTTGAGAAAGTGTTTCAGATAAGTTTGTTTGTTTATTTAGTGTTGTATAAACTTTCTTTTAAATATGAAATTTGTGTATTGTCGTATCTTTCTCATGAAATCTGAGTAGTTTCCTCTATCTTTCCCCCTACTCTGAGATATGGAGAAATGAAGAGATAATATGAATGTGCCATAATTAAAATATAAAATAAATTGTGATGATTTTTCAACTCCAAATTTAATTTACTTTTAAATTTGGCCAGGAAATGGAGTATGCGTTCTATAACAGAGTGAGATCATATTTGATTTCATGAAGGAGAAATTCGTTCATGAAATTAAATGCAAATAAATAAGGAAATATTCTTTATTGGGTGTAGAATTGGAGAATCTTTAGGTGACAGAATAAAATCCCCAATTTGGTCTTAGTGTTTTAAAACTAAAGCGAGAGTTAACCTTCAGGTGAAGGGAAGTGGGAGCTCTAGAGTGGGAGTCGGTATCCTCTTAGTCTAGCCACGGATTTAGGGACTAAACCTAAGATTAACCAATGATTTTCTATGCACTGTATCAAGGTAGAGAATTAAAATTCTCCTATTTGGCACAATACATATTATAAACATTTATCTCATCTCATTTCACCAGAATTTCATTGTAGTGGGAAGGACGTTTTTTCACATAAGAAATCTTCATTACATAAACATAGTTAGTAGATTAGTAGTTATTATTCAAAATTTGCATTTCTATTTTGGTATTAGTTTAGTAATTTAGTTTGGTTAATATCCCAACATTCAAAATTAGTGATAGTGATTTCGTTTGATTTTCTGTAAATTTCCTGTTAAAATTTATCATTTCTAACTTACACTTTCCCCATGGGATCGATATTTGGGGCTTAAATAGAAAGTCCATTATTATTTTATAACGATATGTATACTTGCGTAGAATTTCATTATTAATTACCTATAATTATATATACTTTACATAAGTTACATTTCATACAAGGATCAAGTTTTTGGCACTGTAATGGTGTCAACTTCATAAATCCTTACATAAAAAAAATCGGGATCAGGAATCTATTCAAATTTCCTACAAAATTATATAACTGTTGCTAGTTCTAACGTTTCAACGGGAGCAGCGAGAAGATGACACGTATGCTTTTATAGTATTATTAAATTTCTGTCATTTTACTTACTGCAGTTTTCTCTTACTTTCAAATATTATGCATGTTTGGTTGTGGATGCCACTTTACCTGGAAAACTAAACAATTTTTCAAAATTAATCAACAATTTTTAAAATTAAATTAAATTTTTTCAAAGGTAACCATAAATCTTTTGAAATACAACAGAACAAAATACGTCATTTTGAATTTACGGGAATTCCTTGGAGAAGGTAACCCAAGATTGCTAACGAGATCTCCCCGGTTTAAATGAGCCTAACAATTCTTTTAAGCTAAGTAAATTAAAAAAAATAGTGATACCGGAACGAGGAAACCATGGGATCCTAACCGGTGTCGCTCTAATCAACTTTAACCCCCCATCTGATTGAACTTAAACTTGTCATTTAAACCTGTTAAACATTTAGACTTTAAGACTGCTATTTCGCTGAGGAGCTTGAAGCTAGCTTTGTGGGCAACCTTCCACGAGTGCAATCTACAACAACACGAGGACTTACAACATCACATCTTTTTCTTGGAATTAAATAACAAGTCATAGGACTTCGAGGTTGTCCGCCTAATGCGACATAAATCCTCAACTCATCTTTAAGCTTTTGCACAATCATGTTGTGCAATATAAGCCTAATTCGTTTTAGGATTCTGAGGTTATCGTTCGTCATGATCTAAACCCTGATATCTTCTATGTTATTTGTGCGATCGTCTCGCATTAATGTAAGCCCTAACTAATAACATTGGTAGGATGAAATACCATTGGTAGGATGAAACACTTAATATCTTCTCATCGAAATTGAAACCAAACCATAGGCTAGCTTGGGAAGTCACCGAGGTTCTCATCAGGATCCGTGACATCCCCCTGTCCTTCTTCCTTTGGATTCCATAATAAATGTTCCAAATTTGAGTCTTTCCCATTTCACACCTCTTTGTGTGATCTTCGAAAAAGTCCTATTCCTTTTGAATTCGTTAAAGACAATATTTTCTGATCTAAATCGACAGTTTTCTTAATTGACTTCGGTTATTTAAGATGTAATTGATTATAGGGTTTACCTCTATAGGGAGCTTGAAGAACTAAGGTAATATAAACACTATCTAATTATTTGTATTAGATAGGGGAATTTGTCGCCAAATATAAAAGGTTCGCAGACCAGGCGAATGTTATAAATTCTTTAATTTATTTAATTGAGCCTCTCCGGTAAGTAGTGTATCTACCCTTCAGGGTAGGTATATTGCTTATGGTGTTGTGCTCGATCATTTAAACTATTGTTTAAATGAGATCAGTTTTGATATCACATTTTCAAAAAAATTAAAATATTATTCTTTCCAATATATATATATATATATATAAATTAAATCAAAACCACGAGAATATAGCGGCCGACAGATGTCACATTCATAGTTTGTTGTCATTGTTGTGTCCTCTCAATTCGCCATTATGGAGTATATGTGAGTTTCAACAAGATGATGGTTGATTTTTTTTTTGGGCAAGGTGAGCATTTGAATCCAATACATTGAGATATTTCTATTCTGTTTTTCCCAACTAATATGCAACTTATTTGACAGGTAGAATCGAGACTGGTAGAGTCAAGAGGGGCTATCTCATCACTTTAATTTTATGATTTCTTCTAAAACTTATGACTTATATGGAGGTTGATTTCATTTAATTTCTCGTAGTTATTTATGATATAGAAAATTCTTCTCTCAAGTTTAGAATTAATTCTTCCTCCAATACTTATTTGAAATATTGATTTTTAGGGGCATTTACATGCCCACCATACAATGCTTCTATATGTACATATCTAACAACCAAAGTTTTATTTGTCAATAACTAACGCTCATATCTTTAACATTAGATGAAAATATCACTCTTACAAACCCTTTGGATATGAATTACATCTTTTCATGTATAGCAAAATATTATAAATGTAAATATCAAACTTTAGCTATTATATATGTCAATATGTATGTATAATGTGGTACTGGTATATAGGTAATTTATTTATTTATTTATTTATTTATTTGACATAATATCTACAACTCTTGCGATAAGAAAACATCTAAAGGTAATTAGTACTGATGTGATTGTAAGAAAATAGTCCATCTTATTTAGCTAATTGGAACACTGAATGATTAACTATGGTGGACTAGAAGTTCATGTTGATGAAATTTGATGTGTTTTACTTTTATTTTTATTTTTTTAATATATTATTCTGAGTCATTTGCAGGATTTCAATAATAATTTTTTTTTAATTTTTATCAACTAAGCTAACATAAGAAATAAGAGACATTGACAATTTGACATACATTACCATCCAAATCTTATGTACCTACATACCTACATACCACATACCCTTTATATTTATACCACCCAAATCTTTTATATCACATCAAAAACACCATTTCAACTATTAAAAAGTAAAATACAACTTTCATGCATAAGTTTTGTGGATCGTATGTAAAAATAAGAGGCACTTACATACATACCATCAAATTCCTATGTATTTACATACCACGTACCTTTTATATTTATACCGTCCAAATATACAATTTTAACTTTTAAAAGTAAAATACACCTTCCATGCATAGATAATGTGGTACGCATGTAAAGTTGAAGTTTCGGTATTAAACATGTAAATACATAGAAATTGAGTGGAATGTATGTAAATCCTCCTAAAACCAAATGAATCCCATAATACTAGTTAAGAAAGTATTTAAAAACATTCAATGGTTGATTTTCAACCATAACTCTGAACTTTCAACTTAAGATTAAGTTAATTTAAATACCAAATATATCATCCCAAATTTAACCTCTTTCTGATTCTCATTCCCATACATAAGAGTTATTGGCTTTATTGAGATCTATGAGTCTTGATGCCTGCTTTCTACTAAGATATCTCGAAAATCGAAAATAATTCCCTACCACAACCCCAACACAAAGATCTAACCTCATTTCACAAACTTATTTCATTCTAGTTAACATCAAATATAGAAATTTCTAACATGAGCTATACATTCATTAAAGAGTGATAAAAATACACCAAATACAAATATGAAGAAAAAGACAGTTATCATTGAAGTTTTGAGGAACTTACATACCACAATATAAAAATATGAAGAAGAAGACCGTTATCATTATATAAGTTTGTGTTATATATATAAATGAATTAAAAATAGTGAAGTATGATGGTTCGATCTCCCAAACAATATACTTACATATCAATCATCACCACAAAAGCTTATCCTAAATACATGCTTAGCATTTATCATACAAGATAACAACCATGCACAACATACAAAAACTCCCATAAGAGGAAAGGAGCATTTACATACAAACCACCCAATTCTTATGCATTTACATATCTAACACCAAAACCATCATTTTTATATTCATACCACTTAATTATTCCAATCAAATAAAAAATACCACCATTTTTTTAAAAGTTTAAACACCTTTTCATGCATAGATAAGGTAGCATACATGTAAAAATTAATGTTTAGGCCTTAGATATGTAAATAGAAAAAAATGGAGTGGTATGCATGTAAATCTTTCAAAAAGAAAACATAATGCAAACCAAAGAAATTTAACATAAACTGAAACATAATAAAGTCCTCAACAAGGTACCCCCACATACTACTTAAAGCTCTCATCAACTCGACAAAGTAGCAGCACAAAAACCTAAAATAACACAACCATAGTAATTTATTTCTTAACAAAACAGGCAGACACTTAGGGGATAATAAAAATGGCGGTTAAGATGAAAGGTATTTGCTCACCCAGGAGCTGAAGCGAGACCAAGCCAGTTCTACAGCAGCTGGATCATCATCATTTATTCCCATCTCCTGTCTCCTTTTTTTTCCATCAGGAGTATCGTTCATGAAAGCATGCCCAATTCCAGGATAGATATAAACTTCAGAGGGCGCACCAGAAGCTTTCAGTTTCTCTTCCAATTGTTTTGCAGCCTGAGAAGAATGTGAACAATGAGTCTCATGGAAATTAACTAAGAACAATCAAATAATCATACGGGTAAGATTTACATATATACCGCAGAGTTTCTAATCTAACACCTAAACATACCACTTTACCTATGAGTGAAATCAAATAATCATACGGGTAAGATTTACATACATACCGCAGAGTTTCTATGTATTTACATATCTAACACCTAAACATACCACTTTACCTATGAGTGAAAAGACGAAGGCCTATTCAAGTACATAACACCCAATTCCTATGCATTTACAAGTCTAACACCTAAACTTTTGCTTTCTACATTTATGCCGCTCAAATATTAAATATAATATAAAAAATATCACTATTTTAACTTCTAAAAAATGAAATACAACTTTTCATGCATAGATAAGGTTGTGTTAGATATGTAAATTTGTAAAACTTCTGTGAAATGTATGGGGCAATCCCTCATAACAATCTTGAAGAGGAGAGTATACTTATTTAATAATTCGATTTCAATTTAGAATTTGATAGTCAAATATATTTTGAAATTTGGTAGGGATTTTATTTTACATTGCCTAGGATATCTTGAGATGGTTTGCATTTTTATTTCTTTATTGTTAGATACTTCATCAGATTTGCTACAATCTGCATTTCTATCAAGGGAGTGATTTCAAGGGGTGAAGCTAAATATCATTGTTAATTTCATCTTAATCATCATTGTTAATTGATTTCAAATATTTTTAGTTTTCTCGACATATTCATAAGTTGTTTTGGATTAATAAATTGTCATATGAATTTTATAAATTTTTAAAAGATTTTTTGGCATGTCATGTAGGCCAATAATAGAAATCACACCATCTAGGACTTTTAAATCATAAAATCTGAACTTATAATAACTAGATAGTGATCGAATGGTTAACAATGATCAATCTGGACAAATAAGTGCGCTAGCACTAAATAACTTCTTTGTAAATTTGTGCCTACGGGCTTCTAATTAAAGGAAATTTTAATTGATTTCAAAATTATAAATTGGAATCTGTAATATTTATAAAACTCATTGGAACTTACTGTTATTCAAGTTGAAAGTCCAATTTCACCTCACTGATTAATGAGAAGCTTTAAAGGATTTTGAGTGGTGTTATCCAATTAGCAAGGATGAAGGCTTAATTTTTTAGTGCATTTCCACGTCTTATTTTATTTTTTTATCTACTCTTCCTTCTGCATTTTTCATTATCGTGTTTAAAAGTGAAATAGCATTTAGTTAGATTTACTAAATTTTGGATATATGTAGAATAAGTTGTTCTCATGACCATAACTCTCAACCTTAATTTCTTATCTTCCTTCACCAACAATTTTCAGTATATGTTTGAAAGTGATAATGCATTTAGTCATATTTTTAGCTAAAAGATTAAACTTTAGGTTTTTGTCAATCTCCTTGCTAATTTCAAATAGAAGTCACTAGACTTTTCATCTAAAACTTATTTCTAACATATTATTTATCGTCATTTATATAATCAATATGTAGTTTAGTTAAATAGACGGTGCTAAAAAATTTTAGTGTAAGATTCACATTAGAAACCTCATATCCTAAGAAATTCCACATCATAAATCAAATTTGAGAATCAAATTTGAGAATCTCAAATAGTCATCAAATAAGTGAACATTGATAAATTTAATCAAACAGCTGTGCTTCCGGATTTTTTTTTTTTTTTGGTATTTAGAATAACATCTGTGCTTGCACTATTTTATTATTATTATTATTACTATTTGAACCAAATGTCCATATCCTACTATTGCGGAGAAGCATTCCCACAATAAAACATGCATGCATGTCACTCTTCATGAAGGAAGAGTGAGAAATCATGAATTATATAAATCGAACTAAGTCTATTATAGATCTCCAGATCATAATTTTTTTATTTAGAATTAAATAAACTTCCATTAATTTAGCTGATGACGAGAAGAGGAAACATGGCAGTCACAGTTTTGGTTTTTTTCAGTTTACATTGTCATTTTTGTATGATGAGCAAAACATTGTAGAGAAGTAAATTCACTTTTTTAGTAGACAACTAGTCCATAAATTTACATACCAGTCAATTCAGAAAAATCGATAGAGATGCAATGCTCTACGCTGGCAATATCTTAAAGATATTTACATACATACCACAGAATTCTTATGTATTTACATATCTAACATCTAAAAATTGATATTTACATTTAATAAACTTTGGTGTAATGAGCCTATGCATGAATATGTTTATGCCACTTTTAAAAAGTTAGTAATAGTGATATTTTTGATGTGATCTTTGAATGATATGCATGTAAATATGAATAGTTAGGTGTTAGATATGTAAATAAATAAGAACTGCATGGTATACGTAGAAATGCCCCTATTTTAGGTAACTAGTTTCTAGTTCCATAAACAAAGTCCTCTCTGCATCATACTTTAAAACCAAACTTAACATAAGAACTTCAAATCCAAATCATAGCTTGTCATGTAATTCAACTAGGAGGCTAAGGCTCAATTTGCGATCATTTTGTTTTTTTTTTATTTTTCTATTTGATTTTGTTGACGCTTTCAGTTGAGTTAAATCATGTTTGATTGTGATAGTTGGTTTTAAAAACACTAAAATATCTTTTAGGTATTTTGAGTGTTTTAAAAAACAAAATGATTTGCTTTAAAAATGAAAAATAAAAAGAAATAAAAACTATACTAACCAAACATGCTTTCAAAAATAAACGTAAAACACAAAAATAAAAATAGAAAATAAAAGTCATGTCAAATGAGCCCTACACTACAATCAAAAGATTTCCAGAACTATCAACCACTTAGTCCCCATCATATGCTCTAGAAATAAAATCACAAAAAAAATAACCACATATCTATAGAATGAAGCAATTTGTGGTCGGCCAGGCATACTAAAATGGAATCATATTAGATGATTACAAAAGAGAAGAAAAGGAAATTTACATATGGAACACACAATTCTTATGGATTTACATATCTCACACCTAAACTTTTAGATTTCATACATAATACTTTGGTGCATTACCAAGAAATGAAAAGGTGTATTTCATTTTAAAAAGTGAAAATAGTTCAATTTTTGATGTGATATTAAAGTTTTGAATTCTATGTGTGTAATTATGAAAGTTAAGGTGCAGGATATGTAAATAAAAATAAATATTTGGACGTGAAAGAAGTGATGCAATGATTTTCGCTAAGGCGTGAAAGAAGAGTATTTTGGTCCCCATTCTTAAGAATAAAGAGGATGCACGAGAGTGTGCAATTTATAGAGGAATTATGTTGATGTGTCCTACTATAAATTGTGGGAGAGGATTATTGAACATAGGTTAAGACATGATACAATGATTTCTCATAATCAATTTGGATTTATGTCGAGCAGGTCTACTATCGAAGGTAAACATTTATTGAGAGGTTTGATGAAGAAGTACAGAGAGAATAAGGAGAATTTACATATGATTTTTATTGATTTAGGGAAAGCTTACAATAAGGGAAGTTTACGATAAGCTTATAGGAGAAGCCATTTGTTGAATTCTAGGGAAGAAAGATGTCGATACGACTTAAATTCAAATCATTTAAGATATGTATATTAGAGCTCTTATTTGTGTTTGAACAAAAGAATGCTTGACCAAGTATTTTCCTATTTCAGCTGGATTACATTGTGGATCAATTTTAAGCCCATATTTTTTTGCTTTAATTATGGATGCTCTTGCTGGACATTTACAGCAGGATGTACCTTGGTGTATGCTTTTCGTTGATGCTTGAATTACAGAGGTCAACATTGGAGTCTAATGGCCTTCGTTTGAGTAGAACAAAAACTGAACAGATGGAATGTAATTTCAATAGTAGTAATTCCAGTGGTAGAATTGTAACTATGGGTAATCAAATCATTAAAATGTGGGAATGTTTTAAATATCTCGAGTGTATTGTTCAAAGTGATGGTGACATAGATGGGTATGTTATTAGTAGAATTCAAGTTGGTTGGTTGATGTGATGGAATGCAACGGGCCTATTATGTGAAAGAAAAGTATCGCTTAGACTGAAAGGAAAAGTTGATAAGATGTAGTGAGACCTGCAATGCTCTATGGCGCGGAATGTTGGCTTTTAAAAGAGAAGCATAAAACAAAGTCAAGTGTTGTTGAGATGAGAATGCTTAGGTGGATGATTGGCTTTACTCTTAGAGACAAAATGTGAAATGCATATATCCGTGATAGGGTTGGTGTAGCTTAAGTGGCGAACAAGATTAGAGAGAGATGTCTTAGATGATTTGGTTACATTAAATGTCGACCGTCTGAGGATCTGGTTAGGAGATGTTTTAGATTCGACTGATGTTAAGATAGACTGAGGTGGACCTAAAAATACTTGGGCATATTGAATAAAAAATGATCCTAATCTATTAGAATTAAATGAAATTATGACACTGAATAAAACGCCATTGAGAAAAATGATTCATGTAGCCGACCCCAATTAGTGGGATAAAGGCTCGTTGTTGTTGTCGTTGTTGTTGTTTTTGTTGATATAAAAAGAAGGAAGTGGTCACTGGTTAAAGCATGGTCTTACCGTAAATATAAAAGGAAGAAGTGGTCACTGGTTAAAGCATGGTCTTACCGTAACATCTGAGAAACCAATGAAGGAATCTAGTTCTCCGAAGTGAGCTTGGACAGGGGCCTTTGTTTTTGTAGCATCTGCAAGTTCCGTGGAGGCTGAACCATAGAAGCTCACAGCTGCATCAACTTCAGAAACTAAAACAGCACTTGCAACAGATAGAGCACCACCCATGCAGAATCCAACTACGCCAACCTGACCAAATGAGTCAGCCAAGAATTTATTAACTCAAATTAGCAGAATGAACAAATCATTTTCGTAAATCAGCCCTTCATAATGGTCATTAAAACCAAGAGAAATTTATATATATACCACACAATTCTATGTATCTATATATCTAACACCAAAACATTCAATTTACAAGCATACCACTCAAATTTTAACATCACATCAAAAAACCTATCTTTTTAGAAGTGAAAATCACCTTTTCATGCATAAATTTATGGCATAAAGGTGTTATGATATATAAATACATAAGAATTATGTGTTATGTATGAAAATTTTGCAAAAAAAATGACTGGAGGCAAAGCATATAAATAAATCGGCAATCATTTTATTTTTCGGGCATTTAAATACAAACCACCCAATTCTTATGTATTTACATATCTAACACTTAAACTTCGCTTATATTTATACCACCCAAATGTTCCACATTTAACTATTCTGCAATAGACTTTATGACTCTCCAACCGTTCGTCAGTCTGTTCATCCAGCGAGGAGTAGTTGATAGGTATTTTGATCCTTAAATTGAAACCCAGAAGTGTCAAATGAAATGCATCAGTTATTGTTGGTAGCAAGGTCATGAACATAAAGAAGACTATGGGAGGGTTGAAAGACATGATATAGACGGGATAAGCAGAGCTTACCAGTTAGGGTGGGAAGGATGCCACATCTTGTGTGTGAAATGAAGACTGCGTTGTCATCAGCAACCGCTTGTTCAGTTCCATTATACGAAATGGCTGGTGCAGTTGATCAAAGTTTGAAGTAAGGTGTTACGAGGCCCCTGAATCTAGAAACCATTCCCCTTCTGTGTTGGAATTGTCAGGTGGTTAGTAATCTAAGTTTGTTTGGTGCCAGCAGTCGATTGCTGTATGGCCTGAGTTTGCACATATTTGGTATTTTGTGGTGAAGGAAGCAGTATTGGTTCCACATCCAGCAGATAGGCGTAAGCCTCTTCGTTTGAGAATTTGATTGGTTGATCTCCCCCATCCTCTGTGAGCGTGCCAAGTACCCCTTCCACAAGAAGAGATGAGGGCTAGTTGTGACATAAATTGTTCATTTGCCAGTTCAGCGGCTATATTTGTTTCTTCCAGTGGCAAAGAATATAGATCTTCAAGTCAGATTGGTTCCAGAAACATGTGCATTGCTATCTTCAAACTTTGGTATGAAAATGGTAGACCATTTGACACGGGCATCTCCAGCTTACGGAACGGACATGGAATTCCCGCGACAGAAGCAGCATGGTGCTGCTTGCCTAGACTGAAGCGGTCAAGACTTTTCTTCTTTCTGAGGAGTCGACTCATCTTCCTGGGTCACTCCTAGTTATCCTATTATTATATATTTATTTGCATATGAGTATAGGGTTAGTTTTATGTTCTTTCGGTCTGGACAGTCGTTGGTGCCTCAGATTTTCCCTTAGAGGGCTGTATCCAAGAATCAAGTGGTACTCCAGTTGTATATCGTTCCAAAGATAGAGATTTATCCTACCCCTATAGCTCCCCGCCGCTCCACGTCGTTGTTCCCTGCTGTAGCCGCCCCCAAAACAGCAGATAATGTTGATTTTCCCAGCAGTTCCCCCATTTCCACCTGTCTCTCTCCTTGCCCCCATGCTGCCACCGAGCACTGCCACCACCACCCATCCACAACCTCCTAGCATCACTTCCAATCGTTGTTCCTCATTGCTGCCATCCGGAAGACAGCAAAATTGCTGTCCAACAGTAAGGCATCTAAGCTGCTGCCCCACAACCGACCGTCCGACATCGATGCCTGTTGGACCCAAATTTATCATGTTGACCATGCCTAAGACAGAGCGTGAGATCGAGGGAGAAGAAAGAGAAAGAGAGAGAGAGAGGAATGAGTGACACAATGATTGCCTCCATAAGGGCAAAGTATGGGTGTTTCCTGGCTCTTGAGCTTCGTTTAAACATTGAAAGATCATGTTACAAAAAAATGAGAGAGTGATGCCTAAATGGCTAGAGAGCCCAAAATACTTCCTCCCAAAATGGCTTCCCATTACATGAAAAAGATCATCCTATTTACAGATCATAAATAGACCTGAAAAATTACATCATCATCCCTGAGAGTTACACGTCATTATTCTCTTGAGAGTTACAAGTTATCATGCTCTTGGGAGTTACTAGTTTTCATTGGCATATTTCGTTTTCCTGACAACATTTCATATACTTGACATCTTTTCATTGTTGGATCTACCCGACGAGATGGCTGGGGTGGTCGGCCCACAGATTTCTTCTACTATTAACATTTTTCGGACATACATGCCCCCAAGTCTCTTACTTCTTGAAAGTGAAGCCGCGATAAGAATAAGAGACTTTAAATATCAAAAATTCAAATATAATACTTTTACCCCTCGGATTTTGATGACTCTTAGCGTCCAACTTTCTCCAATCTAGAGGTGCTCACTTGAGGCTTTTTCGGGTTGATTTTTTATCTGCATTGTCAGTCAGCTAACTAACATTCGGCCTATTGAGTTGTCCTTCGGTCGGTCGAATTGGCATTTTTCATCTGTCGAGCTATTTTTATGTAATAGTAGCTTAGTGATGAATATTAGTGTTAGTTGATTTGCTCGCCCTGGAGGGTAATTGTTGATTTGCTCGCCACAAAGGAGAGTTCGCTCGCCCCAGATGGGAGACTTAGATTCGCTCGCCTCGGATGGGGGGTATTTTTTTTTTTTTGCCCGCCTCAGAGGGTAGTTTTTAATTTGTTCGCCTCGAAAGTGAGTTTTTTTGTTTTTTGCTCACCCCAGAGTGGTCATTTATTATTTGCTCTCCCCGAAGGGGAGTCTTTAGTTAACGTGCTCCAGAGGTGAGTCTTTGATTTTTGCTCGTCCAGGACGAGAGTCTTGTTTTTTGCTCATCCTGGAGAGAAGTCGTTTGTTCATAAGAAAAAACACATAGAAATATTTTATAACAAATATGCAAGTAAAATTTTCAGTTTATTTTTTTACTTTCGCTTTAGCATTTTACCTCCATTGGACTAATTATTTTTTAACAACCCTTCATTTGATTGTCTGACTTTTACTTGATTTTCACCTTGAACCTTTCTACAATCGGGTTTATATTTCGTTTAGTTTATATTTAACTAATTGTGTGAACTCCCTGTGCCATGGAGAGGGCAGCCAAATAATCAAAATAGCGTAGCAGGGCTTGAGATGGCCGACAGGGGAAATCGTGCGGAAAGAGGTGGCTGGCCATGCGGCTTCCGACACGAGAAATCATACAAGGAGGCTGGTCGTGAGACGGTCAACGCGGGAAAATTAACGAAATAGAGGTGTGATGCGCCCCTAGTGTGTGTTGTTTTTCTGCGTGTTTTATGTCAATTTAAATCTCTGATACAGTGTCAAAAACTTGACCCATCGCGAAATTATGCAGTAATTTAGTTTTCAAAAATATGGTCAATGACTTGACCCAATTTATATTAAGTAGTTAATGTGCAAAACTGAAATGTTATATAAAATATATTAAATAGTTCACACACTAATGGTTCTATACAAGTGCACGTAACGTAATATAGGTTTTTTTTTTTAAAACTCCAGTATCGATCCCACAGAGAAGCGCAGTAAGAAAGTATAGACTTTTTGTGAAACTTTTACTTATAGTTGCAAAAATTAGAAGTCTTAACTTGGAAGATGAAAATTCTAATGATAATAACATAAATTACAATATTCAAACTATAAAAATTAAAATAAGAAAGACAAATTAAAATGGGTTTCATGAATGCTAACAGAAATGTAACTAAAACAACTAAGTTTACTAAACTTCAAAATTAAATTTACTAAGACTAAACAAAGTTTTGTGACAAAGAGTTCAAATTTAAGAAAATATCATTCCCCTTACAATGAGTATATGGATTGTAAAGAAATTAAAATTATTTGAAAATATATAAATATTGTGTTGTGTCAAATAGGAGCAATCCTTTTCTTTACCATCTTCCGAGTGCATAAAGAACATTGACTAATCCAAAGTTTGGTTCCTAATTCCGTGGTTAGGTTGGGAGGATACCGGCCGCCACTCCAGAGCTCCTACTACTCCCTCCCTTGAGGGCTAACAATCTCGCATTTGTTTCCAATCAACTAAACCAAATTGGGGGTATGTATTTTAATCTGCCACCTTAAAATCTCCAATTCTGCATCTAACAAAGTATATTTCCCTACTTATTTGCACTCAATTCCATGGATGACATACTCTCCCATGAAATCAAATGTGACTCTCCTCATATTATAGAAATCAGTCTCTTTTGAAACACATATTTATCAACATATTTTAACATTTCAATTGATCAAACTAAAAAGTAAATGAAGATCGGTGTTCGAATTATCACAAATTATTGATATTCAAAACTGTATAAAAAAATCAATTCTTCACAAAACCAAATCTCGAAGTAGGGAGAATGATAAAGAAGACTACTCAGAATTCATGAGAAGAATACGATAAAACACAAATTTCATAAATAAAAACAAATTTACAATATAAAAGAAATAAAAGACAACTTATCTCATAATCATTTACAAACAAATCTCTAGAAGTTCTCTTCAAGTCTTTTTCTCCTTACAAACACTCTCAATTATCTCCTAGAAATGTAACGAAAAAGAAAGCTGTCACATTCTCTCTCCTTTTACAATCCTTGAAGAAAATCTCTAAGCCCTTCCTCTCACTCTCACGCCACTCACACACATATCACATACACACATACACACGCCCTAGACTCTTTTTCAAGCCCTAAACTTCCCTCTCTTTTATAAAAGCTACCTCCCTCCAAAAAGAATTCAAAATTCCCTCTAAAATTCTATTGAAAAGTTAACTCTTTTGAATTCAAAATACAAATCGATTGATCCAAAAGACATATCCCTTCATAAAAGAACCTTCCAAAGTGTCTAGATGCATTGAATCACTTCAAAGGGTCTTTAGAACAAATGTCCCTTTGAAAATTCGAGCAAAAATTTGTCTCAAACCGCCTTAATCTGCAAAAAGTCGTTTCTGGCGCATCTGACGTCAGTTCTTTGGATTTTGGCGCATCATGCGCCACCCTGCAGCAGCTCCACTGTTTTGCTCTGTTTGGCTCCACGTTTCGGTTGCGTTTCACTCGTTTCTGTTGCGTTTCACTCCTAACAGATATACCAAAATGTGCCAAGTTAGAATTTTTTTTTTGCTCGTTTATAGTCCAAATTTCACCATTTTTGCTTTATTTTCTCTAAAATTTCATTTCTTGTACCTGAAACCAAAAATATGTGAAATACCTTCCTTTAAAGTGTAATATCGTTAAAAATAATTAAAATTGAGCATAAAATATATATGAAAAAGTTGATAATTTTTAGGAGTGTCAAGATGGTCGGCACAGAAGATCATACGACGAGAAGGTCAGTCGTGTGAATTTCAGTGTAGAACGACGGGTCAGCCAAAAGAATTGTGGTGCGTGATTGTGGGCCCAAGCGGGATGGGAAATCTTCTACCATTCTACCATCCCTTGCTCGACCTCTAATTGAGTGTGTGTCGAGTAGGTTGTTATTTTTCATTATGGATGGATACAAGAAAAGAAATTAGCCTATTAAATTATTATTAGGATAAGATCGTAGAATATAAGTACTCTCACACATAAATTAATAGTTATTATGATTTACAAGAAGATAAATATCTTATATATTAAAGAGACTAAATGTTGAAAAAAAGACAAGGAGATTGATAGCTTAGACTATAAATATTAGTATTTAGGTAGAAGTCGTATTAGAAATAGATAGGTGAAAATATAGATAAGTGTTTAAAAGATAATATTGTGAAACTTTATAGAATTTGAGATGAAATTACAGTCCTGAATATTGTTGTTGAAACAAATATTCTTAATGTTATAAGTATTTATGTTAAAAAAAATTAGAATGACCTAAAAGGACTAATATAAAAGATACATCTTAAAAAAGTGTTTTTTATTAGAAGAGGTTTAAATTGACAAGTTGGTAGAATGGTAAAAGATTTTGAAAATATTCATAGTGGCTATGATTTTAGAGTGATTAATAGAGAGATGGTAGAAGTTGTAATAGAAATGGTGTATGTGTAATTATGAATAAAAGTTTAAAAGATAACATTAAGAAAATTAATAGAATTTGAGATGAAATTATAGTCCTGAATATTATTGTTGATAATAAGATTCTTAATGTTATAAGTATTTATGCTTCTCAAGTATATTTAGATTTAAGTTAAAAAAAATTAGAAAGATATAAAAGAATTAATACAAATGATACCTCATGAAAAAATAATTTTTTATTGGAGGATTAAATTGACAATTTGTTAGAATGGTAGAAGATTTAAAAAATATGCATGGTGGCTATGATTTTAGACTGACTAATGGAGATGATAGTCATATTGGATTTTACTTTAGTTTATGATTTTATTATTGTTAATAATTTATTAAGAAAAAAGATAAGCTTGTTATTATTTATAAGAATGGATCTAATAAAACACAAATGAAAAAATATAATCATATTGGATTTTGTTTTAGGTAATGATTTTGTTATTGTTAATAGTTTATTTAAAAAAAGATATGGGCATTTTATTAATTATAAAAATAGATCAAACAAACCACAAGTAAATTATTTTTTTATGAAAAAAAGAATTTTTGAGAATATAAAAACTGTAAGATCATTCCAGGTAAAAATTCACCAGCACTTGGGTCAGCATACCCAGGCCCAAGGCAGACGCACCCACGCCACTCCATCACCAATGACTTTCGCACATGCGCCAGGTACGAGAGCAGGTGTGCCTCGTACATAGAAATTAATTTTGAAATATTTTCTCGCTGATTTGGATGCCCTGACTATAAGCATGCTTGTTTGCACGAGGAGAATTACCCTTGGACATTGTGGAGGTTGTTTCTCTTTAGGTTTGAAAAAGTTTTGTCAATCCTAGGGTTTTCTCCAATAATTTTCCTTGAGGAAGATTCCTAGAATTGGTTTTTGTAAGTTTTGAGATATTGTAAAGATGGATTGAGTACAATTACATGAGGGAGATCTAAAAAAAGTTGGTATTGAATAGAGAAGATCACGGTGTTTTGCAAGGACTGATTGGCTAGGGCTTGAGTTCATTGCATCTCTTGCATTGTTTTCCATTTTAGCCAACAATGATAATTTTCAAGTTTTATTTTCTCATGCATAGCAGTTAATCTCTTTTTTATACTCTTGTGATATAAAGCATGTAGTCTTTTCGTTGTTTTATCTTGTGAATTTTGCTGCCTATATGCTTTTTTGGTGTTGGCATTTTATATGTTCGTGTATTAACTTTCTGGTCTTAATTTACTTTAAAGATAAAATGGTAACCCCTTGTGATTTAGAACTTATAACAGTCGCATGGAAGAACAAATAGGTTAACACGCAATAGCCTAGTGGAATAGATATTGTCAGCAGAAAACTGCAACCTAGATAAGGCACAAAAGAATTTTTTAGAAAAGTTGTATGTTAAGTCCCCTAAATTGTAATATAATCTTTTAACTCTATTTATGACCTAAACATACCAAAGAAAATATATCCCGTTTTTTACAATAATCTAGATTTTATAGAAAAATATCAGGAAACTACTTGACCAGTGTCATAGGAGTGATCATTTCATCTTTGAATAACTTCACAAAACATAGTCTAATTTCCACCTTTTAAGATTTTAGAACTTTTAACATCTGTGCGTCTAATACTTCAAATTAAATTAAGAGGTTTAGTAAACTGAAACTTTGTTTGTAAAAATATTTTAATAATTTTTCTAGTGAGATCGATAGGACTTAAAAGACACATACTTGTGTGATTGACCGATTTGTCCAACAGTAATTTCGACATCAATATTCATTTTAGAGTATGTGGCAATATTACTCTTCCATTCCCGGTATTGAAGACATTTCAGATTCTTCCACCACAGATATGCACTCTTACTTAACTTGATGACTGATCCTCTATTAGGTGGAACATCATTCTACTCAACTACCCGTTCCTTCTGTTAGGTGGAACATCATTGTACCCAATCGCAGGACTAATTTTGCGATTTGTGAGATCCTGTGATCTGTGAAATTTCATGACCTGCAGAGTCATGCGACTCCTGCAAGCTCCCACTTCAAAGAAACTAACTCATTAAAAAATGACTTGATGCCACCCCTATATCCAAACATACTTTTGGATTTCTAATCTAATAAAACCACAAGTCCTTATCAAAATACTTCGAAGGATTAATATGTACTGCATTTGGTTGCAACCAAATAGTTTTAAACAACAAAATCAACTAGGTTCATGGGGTAGATGATAATTAGAATTACAAAAATCAAAATTCATGTACATAATTTACTTTAAAACAGAGGATCCTCAGTTACAATTTTTAACCAACCATCCCCATAAGCAAATTTATATGAGCTAAACAAAATGAGCAAGGTGAAATACACATTAAAGAAATATTAATAGAGCATTTACACACATACCACAAAATTCTTATATACTTGCATATCTAGCACCTAAACATTAATAGCGGGCATACCACTCAAATCTTTAATATCATATTAAAAAATTCCGGGCATACCACTCAAATCTTTAATATCATATAAAAAAAAACCACCATCATTATCTTTTTAAAAGTGAAATACATAGGTTTGTGACACCAAGATGTTGTAAGTGTAAATATCAAACTTTGGCTGTTAGATATGTAAATACATAAGAGTTGTGTGGTAATGTATGTGAATTTCCTAGATTAGTATGCTTCTAATATCACCTTAGGTGAACCATTGGCCTTGAGCCATTTAACTGAAGCGGCAACATCCTTTATTGCACCTGGCCAGTCCAACTCGTCCAGCAAATGCTGAGCTTCAGCAACGTCAAGCGCAACCTTTCCACGGTATAAACTAACAGCAGGAAAAGAGAGAGAGAGAGAGAGAGAGAGGAAGAGAGATAAGAGAGGCAGAAATTAAGGCAGAAATTAACATTGTTAGTTAGTCCATATAAAGTCTCACTAGCAATATGTAAGAACACGCATTTATTGATAAATTGCTTCAAGTAGATCGGTATCCAAGTACATCTACAGATTCTGGGTAGCAAATAACAACTTCTTCTTTCATCTAATGGCAATAAATTAAGCTAACCTGCGCAAGTTAATTTGCGACGAAGAGAGGGCGGAGGGCTTACTCTGGAATCAGAGCTCTGTAACCGGGAACCAAATTCGCAATCTTTTGAGCATGGTTTTTGACCTCGTAGTCAACTCCCCACCACTCCTGCAGCACCACTATGCCAGGTGCATTTTCTTTTCCGACAACGTAGGCATCAAAGGCCTGCAGACGTAATTCCACCAAATAAATAATTTAACCAAAAAGAGCATGAAATTAAAGATAGCAAACTAAAAATGTCAAATCCTGCAATCTATCGAGTTTCGGAAGGAAATTTGATCGAAGATGGGGAATGACATTCAGTCAAGCACCTGAAGGGCAACTGGATGAGAAGGATGAGGGGCGACTTACTGTGTCATCGCGCTGGATCTTAACCTTCAGGAAAGGCTCGGTGGTGGAAGCCATTGAGCGGGCGGCGTAGACGCGAGGGAACAGCGGCGCAGAGAGAAAGCGGGTGAGGTTGGCAGCGACGGCTGGGCGCAAGCGGGTCGACAGAGCTCCGAAAAGAAGTGACTGAGATGATGCCATGCGCAGCTCAGGGTTTGGTATTTAATGATGAGGTTGAGAGAGAGGCCATTGATGGAAATAGCAAGCGGGAGGTAGGTAGCGTTTTAGCCACACACTAGTGAGGGGGAGCTGTGAGACGGCAGCAGAATATGCCGTCAGGTGGACCAGAGGTTTGTTTTTTCTTTTTTTTTTTTTTTTTTTTTTTTTTTTTTTTTATTCATTCATTTGGCCAGTATTTACTATAGGGGTGTAAATAAAGCTCGCTCTCATTCGGCTCGTTCATATTTCTAGCTAAAAAAGTGTGTTCGTGTTCGTCTTGTTTTTCTTGTTTGCTTAGTGAGCCGAACACAAGCCGTTCATGAACAAAGAGTCGTTTTGACAACCCTAATCACGTAGCCATAAGATGCTTCATAATATGTTAAGGATTAGGACAAGATTTAAAATATCATTTGAAT